TTGCTGCCAAGCCTGATGACCCGAGTTTGATCCCCAGAACCCCATGGTGGAAGGAGAGAACCCACTTCTGCAAGTTGTCCTCTGACCTTCTCCTGCATATCTTGCTTGGCACACACACACACACACACACACACACACACACACACACACACACACTCAAACATGTAAATGCATTTTTTTTTTTTTGTAAAGAAAATGAGATGGAGGGTCAGAGTGGTGACCTGTCTAGGTTTACATGACAAGGATCGGCAGGGCCAGAGTCTGATGCCAGGCCTAGCTGTTAAGCACAGTTCTGAGCTGGGCACCGTGTAGTAGGAGCCTTTCCAAAGCACTTTCCTTTGAAGTGGCATGACCAGCCTGGTAGAGGCAGCTTCCCTTTCTAGCATGGCCATCGTGGAAAGACAGTGATAGAGTTGAGGAGGAGCCAGAAGATCCCAGGAGAGAGCTTCCTGGAAAAAGAGTCAGTAAAGCCAGGCTTTGAAGGATGTGTAGGAGTTAGTCAGGTGTAGAGTTGGAGACAGAGGAGCTTGTCAGTCCAGAGGTACAGAAGTGGGAGGATGCTAGGAGAATTCAGGTGCTTTGATTGGATGGAGTAGAGGGGATGTGCTTGGAGGAGTAGGAAATGAGACTGAGAGTTAAGAGGAAGCTGGACCAAGAAGCAGATGGGTTTGCACTTTATCCTGGGGTGCTAGCGCCAGTGCGGGTATACGAGCCAGGCAGCCATGGGCCAAATCTGAGTATCGGTAAGACTCCTGACTAGTTCAGCCTGGATTCCAGAGCCAGGAAGAGAGAGGTGACTGTCCTGCCATCTTGCTTTCAGCGCCGCTTCCGCTCGGAAGCCTCTTCGGCCTTCCGGTAGCCCTTCCTCTGTGGCTTTCTTAGCACCTGGCATGCTCTCTGCCATTTTGGTAATTGGCTGGTGTGGGCCTCTCCTTCCCTTTCCCACCCCACCCAGGAGCTCCTGCAGGCAGGGAGTGGAGCTGAGCCATCCTTGGATCACTGGCATCACCTTGCATGGGTTGGGCACAGAAAGGCAACAGAAGGGGTGACTGATGAAGGATGACTGTGCATGCTGTTTGCCAATGCAGGGAAGTATGCGTTGGTGGCTGAGTCACGTTGGGTGTACAAACATCCTTGGGTGCCTGTTCACTCGAACCTTTCTATAGTGTGTAGGTTTTTTTTTTTTTTTAACTCTTTTGGGGCCTACCACCCAGCTCCCAAATAAATACATAGAGACTTATTCTTACTTACGAATGCCTGACCTTAGCTTGGCTTGTTTCTAGCCAGCTTTTCTAACTGAAATTATCCCATTTCTCTTTACACTTTGCCTCTAGGCTTTTTACCTTTCCTTATTCTATATATCTTTCTTTCTTACTCTGTGGCTGGTTGTGTGGCTGGGTGGCTGGCCCCTGGTGTCCTCCTCTCCTCCTTTTCTTGCTCCTTGCTGTTCTCTCTCCTAAATTTCTCTTCCTATTTATTCTCTCTGCCTGGTAGTCTGCCTATCCCTCTCCTGCCCAGCTATTAGCTGTTCAGCTCTTTATAAGACCCATCAGTATTTTAGGCAGGCAAAGTAACATAGCTTCATAGAGTTAAATAAATACAACATAAAAGAATGCAGCACACGTTTGCATCATTAAACAAATAATCCACAACATAAACAAATGTAACACATCTTAAACTAATATTCCACAACAATGGTGTACAAGGGGGATGGTATCCATTAATCCATCCATCCATCTATCCCTCCCTCTGGCTATCCATACATCTGTCTACATATTCATCCACTCATCTGTACATCCACTTACCCAATCACCCATCTATACATCATGTATGCATACATGCAATTTTCCACGTATTCATTTATCTACCCATCCGACCACCTTGCATCTATCCATCCACACATATGCTTTCCATTCATCCATCCATCCATCCATCTATCCATCCATCCACTCACTTACTTACTCACCCATCTATCTGCCTACCCATCTTCCCATTCATCCACCAATCTGTCTATTTATATATCCAATTACCCACCCAATCATCCATTCATCCACTTACCCATACTACCTACTAACCCATTCATCTACCCACCCACCCATCCATCCACCCACCCATCAATTCATCCATTCACTAAATATCTACCCACCCAATCACTAAATTTCCATCTATCTACCATTCACCTACCACCCACTCATCTACCTATCCCTTTTCCCATTCATCCACCCATCTATTAATCCACCCATTCACTCACCCATCCACTCACCAACCCCACCCACCTATCCATTCATCCAACTATTCATTTCTCCTTTCCTTCCTTCCTTTTCTTTATTCTTTTAAAATTAAAAACAAGTGTACGTACATATGTATGTGCGTGTGTGCGTGTGTGTGTGTGTGTGTGTGTGTGTGTGTGTGTGTGTGTGTATGCACACTTGTAGTTCAAGGAACAAGTCCTTAATGAACCTGAGACTTGACATTTTTTCAGCTAGACTGGTGGTCTGTGAGCCTCGGAGATTCTGTTCTCACTCCCCAGCACTGGGGTCACAGGTGCATGCAGCCATGCCTGACTTGTTTTTGTTTATTGATTTTGTGTGCGTGTTAGGGTGGGTGTGAGCCACAGCATGTGTGCAGAGGGGAGAGGGCAACTTGCAAGAGTCTGTTCTCTCCTTCAACCACGGGGTTCCGAGGAGCTAACTTGGGTCGTTAGGCTTGGTGACGAGCATCTTCACCCACTGAAGCAGCTCTCTGGGCCCTGACTTTTTCCTGGGTTTTGGGCATCGACACTCAGTCCTTATGCTTGTACAAGTGCTCTTACTTTCAGAACCGCTTTTCCAGCTCCTATTTTTCCCCTGATCCACCCACCCTTTGATCCATCCATTCATTCATTTACTGAATGAAAAAGGTTCTTTTTTCTTCTTTTGAGGCAGAGTCTCTGGTGTCTCAAGCTGGCTTTGAACTCACTGTGTAGCCCAAGGTGATCCTGAACTTCTGAACTTCCTGCTTCCTCCTAGGATTGCAGGCATGTGCCACCACGCCCAGCTCATTGCATCAGCTTTGATTTCTCTGAGTTTCCTTGGTTAGCAGTCTTTGCAACATCATCTACAAAGATCTGGATCCACACCTGATATTCTTAACCTCATAGTGCCAAATAGCACCCCCATCTCTGAAGGTTTTGGGGACCTGGTGTCCCACAGTGACATGGGGTTCCTTCCTAGATCTCATTGCAAAGCTTATGACTTGCCAGTTCACAAAAATAAACAGCAGTATGATACCAGGCCCGATGGTATTACTGATGGCCTGAAGCCATCGGTAGCAGGAAGTTCACCCTGGCATGCAGTTGCTGCAGGACACCCTCGAGTCTCTTCCCTTGAAGAACTGCTTGCTGTACAGCACCCCCGGCCCCGGCCCTGGCCCCAGGACCTGCCTCGTTAGTGCAGGCTCACTCAAAGCTGCCATGTTCTCTTCCCTGGAGCTTCTTGGTCATCATGGCAGCCAGATCCAGCCATGATGGATGGTTATCATGGTAGATGCAGGTTCAAAAAGGAGAATGGGTCCTTCCAGATCCCCTAATTTGTGACTTGGCAATATCCAGCTTTTGGTGTGTGTGTGTGTGTGTGTGTGTGTGTGTGTGTGTGTGTGTGTGTGTGTGTGTTGGTCTGGGAGCATGTGTATATACATGTGTGCAAGTGGGAACCCGAGGACAGCCCTAGCTGTTGTTCCTCAGGTGCCTCCAGTCTTTTTTTTGAGACAGGATCTCTCACTAGCCGGGAGCTTGCCAAGGCTGGCTGGCCAGTGAGCCCCAGACAGTCACTTCTCCTCACCCCCACATTTCTGGGATTGTAAGTGCAATTTAAAAAATTAATTTGAATTTTTGTCTGGTATGTGGGGAAGGCAGAGGAAGGGCCATAGCACATGTGAAGAGGTCAGAGAACAGCCCAGAGGAGTTGGCTCTCTCCACCTTGTGGGACCCAAGATCAGAACGAAGGTGTTCAGGGTTGACTATAAACTCCTTTACCCACTGAGTCATCTCATTGGCCCACTCACCATCTTATCAGCTTTGGTGTTGTCTAAATGTGGGTTCTGGGGACCAAACTCAGGCTGTCTTGTTTGCAAGGCAAGTACTTCACTAGCTGGCTTTTGGTTTAGTCAGAAAGAGCCTCACTATGTATCGCAAGCTGACTTAAAACTTTGGCCTCAGCATCTGAACTTTGGGGAACACAGATATGCTCCCCAAGAACAAGGGACACCTGGCATTGTTTAGGAGCAGAGAGACTCTATGCTGTTGGTCCTGTGTGATGGGAGTGACAAGAGCTGGAGGATAGAGATGTCTGTTCGGGGCAATGTCCGGACCAGGGCCGATCATCGATGGCTTTGAAAATGAGCCCTGTCCGGGTGCCGGTGGGTGATGGGTGGGTGCAGCGGCAGAGGCTCCCGTCACTGTCAGCAGGCTGGCATGTCAGACAGACAGGAAGGTGAGGCTGGCTGTGGGATTACAGCCGTGATTCAGATGCTGGGCCAGAGCTGAGAGCAGGGAAGGTTAGGGCGTGTGGTCCTTCCCAAGGGAACATGGCCTGGCGGTGGGTGAGTGATGCTGTGCTGTGAGACTGCTGAAGGATTGAGCAGAAGAGTCTGGGTGCAGGGACCGGATGCGCCAGAGCCATCAGCGGGAGGCTGAGCATGGATTTTTATTATTTATTTATTATTTTAGAAAAGCTGTTAGTGCACAGCAGCCCAGGTTGGTCTAGAACTCACTATGTATATAGCTAATGCTATTCTGTATAAATAAAAAAGGAAATTTACAGTAATCTTTCTGATTCAGTATCTCAGCTGCTGGGATTACACACATAAAACACCATGCGCAACCCCAAAGCTCTTTTACAAGATTAATGGGGAGCCGAGGGAGGTGTTTGAGCAGGAGAGACTCGAGTTCAGATCAGCATGTTGTAAGATTTCTCAAGTGATAGATGTGAAGGTGGGGTGAGATGGGAGGCAGGAACCTACAGAAGAGGCCCACGGAGGTCCTAAGCGGAGGTCAGAACTCGGCCTGGAATGCCCATGCCTCCTCTCTCTCCACAGCTGCCATTGCGCCCAAGGATGAGTTTTTCTATAGCTTCCTGAAGCCGTGGTTAGGTGAGTGCTGAAGAAAGGATGCTGGTCTTCATTTCCTGAGCGTGCAGGCTGCTCAGAGTAGTAAAAACAAACCTGTTTATTTTACAACTTTGGAAAGCTGGCTGTTAGCACAGACGATAGGCAAAATGGCTGTCCACCCACTCAATTTGATCCCAAACTGGTTTTTATACTTCTTTTTTAAAAAATTTATTTATTTTTAGCGCATTGGTGTTTTTCCTGCATGCATGTCTGTATGAAGGTGTCAGATCTCCTGGAACTGGAGTTACAGACAGTTGTGAGCTGCCTTGTGGGTGCTGGGAATTGAACCTAGATCCTTTGGAAGAGCAGCCAGCGCTCTTAACTGCTGAGCCATCTCCCCCTGGTTTTTATATTTCTAACATTTCTCTGCCCTTTGGATTTCTCATTGGCTGAGATCTTCAGTGAGTGGTGTCTAGCCCTGTCCCCTCCCCAGATTCCTATCCCATTAGTTCAGGACACAAAGCCTCATCTGATGTGTGTCTCGGGGCCGAAGATTCCCTCCATTTCTGACACATGGCCTTAGACTTCGTGTAGCTTTCAATCTTAGGATGAACTGGGATCACGTGAAGCAGGCATCAGCTGGCAGCTGGGGAGAAAGTGGGTGTGGGGTGGGGATGTGTGTGTGGCTCCTGTTTATCTGTGATTCTCCAATGGCTTCTAAACACACCTCATACTGAACGTGGAGCCAAAATGATTGCATTTTACATGAAATCACAGAAGGGTATGGGGTTTCTTGGAGCGCTTCAGCGGGGGGAGAGGAGAGGCCAGTAGCCCTTGGTTTTCTGGGTTCAGGGGATGGACTTTTGCTCAGCAAAGGGAACAAGTGGAGCCGGCACCGCCGCCTGCTCACACCCGCCTTCCACTTCGACATCCTGAAGCCCTACATGAAGATCTTCAACCAGTGCACCGACATCATGCACGTGAGTCCTGAGGCTGAGTGGTGGGAGGATGTTGGCCTCATCCCGGAAGGCCTCAGAGCGGAGGGGGGCAGCGTCCCTTGCTACGCCTGAACTGGATTGGCGGTGAGGATCCCGCCTGCTCCCGTCTGACCAGCTCGTGGGCCGTGGTCTTCATGCCTGGTTGCCTTGGGTCTCTCTTCCAGGCTAAATGGCGGCGGCATCTGGCAGAAGGCTCGGTGGCCTCCTTTGACATGTTTGAGCACGTCAGCCTCCTGACCCTGGACAGCCTTCAGAAATGTGTGTTCAGTTACAACAGTGACTGCCAGGAGTGAGTGTGGCCCCTAGGGTAGGTGGGGGTGGGAGGAGAGAGGGACCCTCCCTGCTGTGATGCAAGCTGGGCTGCGCACCCACAGCCTTGTGTTCTTTCTTTTTCTTCCTGGGTGGCCCCCAAGATGACACACCTCTCTGAGCCTCAGTTCTCTTATAAAAAGGATTAAACGAGATTTTGGCTGGGTGTGGTAGTTCACACCCACAATCCATAATCCTAGCATTAGAGAGGTTGAGGCAAGAGGATCTTGAGTTTGAGTTTAGCCTGGACAGCTTAGAAAACCCCATAGAGCATCGTGGTGGTCGCTTTTAATCTCAGCACTCCGGAGTCAGAGGCAAGCAGATCGCTTTTGAGTCAAGGCCAGCTTGCCCAGTGAGTTCTAGGATAGCCTGGGCTGTATCTTGAGAACTCATCTCAAAAGCAAGCAAGCAAGCAAGCAAGCAAGCAAGCAAGCAAGCAAGCAAGCAAAACCCCCATATAAATACATAATTAAGTAAGTAAAACAATGTCAGCCAGTGTCTTGGCACTTAGACGATGCTCAGGAAACCCTACTCTCCCTCATTCCTCCACAGAGAGGGTACAGCCTGGAAATGCCCACCTCATTCTTTCTTTAGTTCCTCCATCTCCTTCTCTTTCCTCTTCTCTCTCCTCCTCTTGTCCTTCTTATCCTTTTTCTTCCCTCTTATTCCATCTTATCCCCTCTTCTTCCTTCTCTTCTTTTTCTTCATCTCCTTCCTGTATTGTTATTTTTTCATCCCCATCTGCCCTCCTCCTTCCTCATCCTCACTTTCTTTTCCTCCTTTAAAAAGATATATTAAAAACTTGTCTGTCATTAAATATCATGCCTACGTGTCTGTGCATAGGTACGTGCACATGAATGCAGGTGCCCCTAGAGTCTAGAGGTGTCAGACGCCCTGGAGCTGGAGTCACAGGCAAGCTGTGAACGGTCCAACGTGGGTGCTGGGAATCAAACTTGATTCCTCTGGGAGAGTAGTATGTGCTCTTAACTGCTGGGCCATGCCTCCATCCCATCCTCCAGGCTTTCACTCTGTACCCAGGGTGGCCTCTTGATCCTCCCTGATTCCATCTCCTTAGTGTTGGGATTGCAGGAGTAAGCCACTGCCCCCCGCCCCAGTCCTTTGCTACACAAAGATGAGAATACCTGATGTTGAGATAGTCTCGAAGGATAAAATAATGTGGCAGCTTCCCTGGCATGTAAAAAGCGTTCAGTGAATATTTGTTGAGTGAACTAATAAAACAACACTCACTCGAGTTCATTCACTCCCCAGATATTTGTTATGGACTGGCTGTGCAGCTCTGAGGTGGAGGGCCTCACGTAGGAGGCCCTCGGCTCCACTTCTAGTCTTGTGCAATAAAATAAAATAAGCCAGGTACAGGGCTTAAGGGATAAACCAGTGGTTAAAAGCACATAGTGCTCTTGCAGAGGACCAGAATTTGGTTCTAAGCACAAATGATGGGCAGTTAACAAACCACCTACAGCTCCAGTTCTGGGGGAATCTGGTACCTTCTTCTGGACTCCTAGGCAACCTGCATGCAGGTGGTGAACACACATACATTCAGACCCCCCCCCAAAGATATAATTAAAACTGAAAACACCGGCTGAAGAGATGCCTCCGTGATTAAGAGCACTTGATGCTGTTGTGTAGGCTCCAGGTTTGATTCCCTAACACATCTCTGGCAGTTCACCACCACCTCTGACTCCAGTTCCAGGGGATCTAGCACCCTCTTCTGACTTCTGAGGGCACCAGGGACACATATGTAGTGCACAGATGTGCAAGCAAAGTACTCATACACATAAAATAAAAATAAAAGAATAACAAAACAAAACCCTTTAAATAAAATAAGTCATGTGTGGTGGTGCATGCCTGTAATCCAAGCATTTGGTGGGCAAAAAGGCAGGGAAATCAGAAGCTCAAGGTCAGTCTTTGCTACATAGTGAGTTTGACTCCATCCTGGGCAACAAGAGACCCTGTCTTAAAAACACAAAAAGGCTGGCGGTATAGCTCAGTTGGTAAAGTGCTGGCC